ACAGCAAGACATTCCAAGTTACACAGATATTATCAAATCACAATAAACTATTTACACATGCAAGGTGAGAATTTTTTCTCTCCTCCAAAACTACATAATTTTTAATCCCGTTAGTTAAAAGCGATTGACACACTACACGCGGGGATGTTTTCTCTCTCTCTCATTCTCTCATTTCTCTCTTCCTATAAAAAGCAGATCTCACCTATAGCCATAACCAAGGGACCAAATGCTGTTCACGTTCACCCAGCCACAACCCTTTTATTACCAATAGAAACCAGGTGTGTGACCAATTATGGCATGAGAACGACTTGGCTATTTATCTATTTGGTCAGAAGGATAAGAGAGGAGAAAGAATAGATCTTCGATTGTAGTTGCGATCATCACAGCACAAAACTGATATATACTATAATTCATTTTTTTCTATTATAATTTTTTTACAAACACATTACTCTAGCTTGTTTTTATTTAGTCGTCGAGGTGGTACGCTCCATAGTAATAGACCAATTAAACTTACGAATCGTATAAATAAGCTATCTCGACAAACTGCTCAGGCTAAGAATGAAAAGATGATGAGAAAAAAACCATTTCAGTTGATAAAGATCTTTAGAAGCAAAAAGAAAAAAAATATATAACAAATGTTTATTGCCATTCGACATCTTTTTACATTAGTTGGAATAAAAATCTCAAACTTGTTCAATTTGATAACGAACAGTGTTATGGATAACGAACATCACAGTTTTTCTAACGATATCAAATTGAGATAAACAAAGTAAATTAATTGGAAATTCCATAAATTTCAATTCTGATAAATGAAAATTAAGCTAATTCTACTGCCAGTGGAAATTTAAAACCTAATGAATTCTCTTTGGAGCAAAAAATTATTCAGACATTTTAACGCAAGTTCAAGTTTTCCTGAAGGTATCAAGTTGATACCAAACTGAATCAAATTGATACCAAAAATTTGATTAAAATTATGCTTTGATCCACAGTTTTAGTCTTAGCTATTTGAAACTTTCAAAGTGAACAGAGAAATCCGCAATTCAACCAGGAAAATTCTAGGGTTTGTAAAATATGAGCTGCTCTATTTAATTTGAATCGAGAGGAGAGTGGAACTCCAAGATACGGAGGAGAAAAGTAAGTTCGTGCCTCATAGAAACGACGATCGTGTTCTGAGAAGATGTTTTCTTTCCATGGACATCATCCGTATCAACCCCACGCGTTATACATAGACTTTGAAGAACATGGCGTAACCGATGCAGCATCAGGTCCACTCTGCCTGTAATATTGCAATGCGAACAGTCAGCGAGGATGGTCAAGATTAGTTCCGATTGCTCCTGCACACGGAGAGTTGTATCACGAGAGAGAAAGAGAGAAGGGTTGCTTATAGTCCAAGGCATCGATCCTAACTACCGCTTCTGCCCGTTAATGAGTCATGTTTAATTGGCGTGGGAAGCTCGCGGATACATCCACCTAACGGAATCGTATCGTACCTAATGCTCGGAATTAAAGTCCTATGTTCCACTAGTTCGCATAAAGAGGATCGCGGGCGTCCGTGTGAAAGGACCAATACTCATCACAAGGAATAAAAGAATTTCTCTCTCTCTCTCACTATTTTTCTCCCTCTACGTCTTCTTTTCTCTCTGTCTTGTACTATTTTTCTCTTTCTTGCTCATTTTCTCTCCTTTACTCTTTACATCCCTCCCTCTCCCTCTCTCTCTCTCTCTCTCTCTCTCTCTCTCTCTCTCTCTCTCTCTCTTAATTTTTCTCTTATTTTCTCTCTCTCTCTATCTTTCTCTGTCAGCCTCTTTTTCTCTCTCTTTAAACCAGAGAGAGAAAAAAAGAAAGAGAGAGAGAGAGAAAAGGAGTAAGAGAAAGAGAGAGAGACATAGGGAGAAAAAAAGAAAGAGACACAGAAAGAGGAAGAGATAGAAAAAGAGAAAGAGACATAGAGAGGAAGTGAGAGGAAAATAGTAAGAAAAACAGAGAGAGAGAGAAATGCCACTTGACAATAAAAACATTCCCCCACCAGATATGTAAATAAACTCACACGCTTATTATCCAAGAAACAAGTCCTCTTTTTACGACTATTACAATTTTATTTCCTTATTTTGATTGTGAAATGGCCAAGAGAGTAATTTACAAGCAATGATTATGAACTTGATAATTCTGTCGTCGCACACCAGATGCTAAACACGGAAGCTTGCGGACTAATGTGAGCTCCTTTCTTTTAGCTGCAAAACAAATTATAATATATACATGTTCAAAAAAAAGTTCACTGTGACTGGAAATTAAGATGCGCTCGTCATAATTTTCCGCCAAAAAATCAAGTTTCTAAAAATTGTGTCCTATAATTAAATCCTCAAAGTATAAACTCAATTCTTTTCTTACCCCTCCAACGTCCGAGATTTTTAAAAAAATAATTTAATTTTCGTCGTCGTTTTGCAATTAAAATGTTCCTCAGTTCGACGATTACGAAGTCGATCTCGACATTCAAAATGGCGGATTCAATATGGCGGACAAAAATCAAAAAAGTTGAGCTTAATTAATGAAAATTACTTCTAGAGGGTTTTTGGAGTCACTGATTAAATATTCGACGTTCGCTTGTCGAAATTCAAAATGAAGGATCCATTATGGAAGACGAATATTAAAAAAATATTGAGTTTACTTGACGAAAATTACTTTTAGAGGATTTTTGAATCGGTGATATCGAATTTGACTCCGTTTTTTTAAAATTAAAAATGGCGTATCCAATATGGACGACGAAAATTAAAAATATTGAGTTTCCCTGACGAAAATTACTACTAGGGGGTTTTTTGAATCGCTAATTAAAAATCCTTCGTCGGTTTTTGAAAATTCAAAATGGTTGATCATTTCATCTTCTTTCCGTACTTGGTGCACAAAATACTATTATTGTCTTTTTGGAGTCGTTGATAATAAATTTGACTTCGGTTACTGAAAATTCAAAATGGTGGATCCAATATGGAGGCTCTCTTACGTTTTACAGTAAAAAATAGTCAGAATTTAGGTAAATTAGAAATTAGAAGCAGATGGAAAAGAAAAAGGATAAAAAAACAAAAAGAGGAGAGGAAAAATAAGAAGAAGAAAAAGGAGGAGAAGAAGAAGAAACAAAATTAGTCAGAATTTAGGTGAATGAAAAATTAAAAACATATGAAAAAGAAAAATACAAAAAACAAAAAGAGAAAAAGAAAAATAAGAAGGAAAAGGAGAAGAGAAAAAGGAGGAGAACAAAAAGAAGAAAATAGAGAAAAAGAAGAAATTTCAATAAGAGAATACAGTGCAACGGTGAATTCTTTGCGATGACAAAGTGTTTCATCCTCAGTCATGCACATGTGCTCGGGGGCATATAATATGTGAAGAGAAATTTCGCCCACGCTGTGAGAAGTACATTTTCAAGCCACTGGTTTAACAGAATCCAAAAGAGAATGAGAGAGAGAGAGAGAGAGAGGGAAGGAGAGTACAGTTTTTCAAGCAACGAGATGGAAGACTACCTTTAGCGAGTCGCGATTCTCGTGTATTCTTTACGTTACTTGCACGACTTAATATGCATACAGCGAATGCCAACTTGGAGTCACACCCATCATAGATGGCCTACCCTGTGGGTGGCGCTTTACGATATCGCGAATAAATCGTCAACAGTTCAAAGCGGCTTCTTCTCCATTCCTCACTGACCGACGCAAAAGAAATTACAATTATTCTATAAAACGCATTTTTTCTCCTCTCTATTTTTTTCACTGCCAACAATTTACTCTTTTAGAAAAAACCAACTGTTTATACTTTTAGAAAAAAGAACTAAACAAAATTAACTAACAATAATATTATAATAATATTTTTTAAATTATAAAAAATAAAAAATATTCACTAAAAATATTTCTTTAAAAATATGTGTATCTTAATATTTATTATTATGATCATTGCAAACAAGTAGTCAGCAAACTATTCGAATAATTCACCCAAAGCGAGGGGGGGAGAGAGATTGTGGCGGCAAAAAGAGACCAGAAAGTCTAAAGACAAATGAGAATATAATTGCGCTATTATGCGTTAGCCTTCATAGAAACCGCAGCCGAGAGAAGAATAGGAGACGATAAAAACGAATGTATCCAATGCCTTACCCTTCAGATCATACCTAACTGTTGTTTTCGCATTTCTCTCTATCATTAACACCGACGTAATTGCAATCCTAATCGTTTCAACCTTCATGTTTTTGATATTGTAGCAAATTTCACGTCACATTAGAAAGTCAACGCAAAACAACTGTAACTATAAATTTACACTTTATAAATCAAAAGAAATTATTGCTTTATATAGATTTTTTTCTACCTTCTAAACTATCCCAAACCCTTTTGTTTTTTAAAAAAAGAAACGAATGGAGACTACCGTTTTTCTAAACTTAACAACAAAAATTGTTTACGAAATTCTTTTCCTAACTAAAACGGAACTAACTATTTTGTAATTAATTGCAACTAATTGTTTATAATTCTTATAATGGACTATAATTGACTATAATTGTTTATAATTTAACTAATTGTTTGGTTTACTGCACCAAGAGAAAAATTTTTATTTGAACCAAATATAATTTATTTGAGTTAAATAAAATCATATTTGTCTCAGAGCCAACTAGGTTATTTATTTATTTTAAATAAAAGTTTCGTTCGACATAAATAAAATTTTTATTTTAACCAAATAAAATTTATTTGAAAGAAATAAAAAGTCTATAGTTGGCCCTGAGTCAAATACATATTTTTTGAGTGTCAATTGAATGTATTTCTTTATTCTATTTATTTACTTTGTAAATTACGTAGACAAAACAAAGTAAATAAATAGAAGAAATGAAATAAATACTTTATTTGCTTAATTTTTTGTTTCTGTTATAATTGCTTTTAAATTTTTATAACTGAGGTTAAAACAATACGTTAATCAAGTATGCGTGCCACAAAATGTAAAAAATATAAATAAATATTAAAATTTTTGAAAGTACTCACCTCCCTTGACGTTGGAGCCCCCAGGATGCAGGGGCTGTCCGAGCGGCGGGGCGCACTGGCCCACCGCTTGCTCGAGAGCTCGCTCTCCTCCTGAAACAAAAGCAAACAAAAATTTAAATACAAAAAGAAGTTTCAAATTTAATTTAAAAAAAATATTTAATACTCTCAAAATTTTCAGACACTCAAAAAAATGTTCTATTACATTTATTTACGAATTTCTTTAATTCTACAATCATTCGAAAATATAGAGTAAAAATTCCTGAAGTGGCCCCCCTATTTTCGCAAAGTTGCAAAATTTGAAATAAGTATTTGTATTTGAAAGTACTAGTATCTGGTAATATTTTTACCAAGTATTTTAAAAATATTTAAATTATTTATATTTTTTATTGTTAATTAAAGATTTTTGAACCCTTTTAATAAAATAATTTTAACTATTTGAGTTTTTGCACAAATTGAACAAAAATTTATGGTCATATCAGTGAGTAAATGTACTTTCGAGTTACAAAATAAAAATTTTAAAAAATTAATTTTTTTTTATTTTTCAATAATTTTTTTATAAACAAATGCAATTTTAAGTGCTTTCTACACGCGATTTAAAAAAATTTTTTTTTGCTAAATGTTCTTTAAAATGTAGGTAAACAAGAACTGAAAAGAAATCTTAGTGCAAATGAAAAGCTTTTTTATAATTTGACTTTTTGTCGAGCGCTGCATACTGCGCGCAAGCAACGCCGCGCGAGAGCCAAGCACGTTCAACGGCGCCAGCCTGCATATTAGTACTTTGGAGAAAAAAATTTTACACACTTCTATGTATGGTAATAACATGTATCAATTGATTTATTTATTCACTTTTTTCGCTTACAGTTTACAATGGATTCTTAATTTTTTTTTGCTTTGAACAAACTATTAATTACCGATTTGTTATCTCCTGAAAATTGTTTGCATTCGATGGTTGTTGCATTTATAGGTTTAAAGTGATGGAACTGGCGTGTATTTTTAATCGTCAAAACGTTTTGGAATCGATTTTGGAGATTTTCTTCGTGGATTTTGTGCTCCTCGACAGAGCAAAAATCGAAATGAATATTTTTAAAGAAATTTCGCGCCCATAGGAAAAGGTCTTTGGCAGTTGTGATTCTACTCCCATTAATTCGCTGCAAACTGGTTTGATACGCGTGTCTTTTTACAGTCCCTCCTATTCCGTCGCAAGCTCCTTTTCCATGGGAGGTTGCGAAGAATACCCATTCCGCTCTTATCCCAAAATCTTCCTGATGGAGTGCTAAATTAACGAAGTTATATTTATTCTTATACTGTGAAGCAGCTCCATCAGAAAAGTAATAAATTTTTTGGATATTTTTATGCGCAAATTTTTCTTTTAAATAAGCCATCAATTTGGAGTTGAATAGGTGTACTGATTTTGTATCATGAGTTGTTTTTTCAGAAATCAAAACAAAATTGAGATTTTTAATACTGCCGTTTTCGCGATAATAAATTACATAGGGGTGCAACGTAGCTTGACTATTGGACCAGTGATGTGATTGAATCGCGTCTTGTACAAAAAAAGAATAATTTTCTGCAAAATCTAAACAGACCACCATTTCTAAATCTTCTAAATCCTTTTTTAGATTTTTAAAAAAAAACGCTTGTGATTTTGCTAAAAAATCGTGTTTCACTAAATCCGGAAATTCAAATCGAAGCTCAGTTAAGAAATCGTCCACTGATTTAATAGCTTCGTTTATTTCACATCTGTAAAACCAGATGAAATAAATTAATAAATAAAAAATATTAAAAATAAACATATAAAAAAATACAAAGAATATAAATACATGCAAAATTCCACATTCATTGTTTTCTAAAATTATATTTTTAACTATACTTAATTTGTAAAAAGTATCAATGATTTTCGATATTTAAATTGATGTATATAAATACTCTTGAAATAATCATTATATGATTTTTATATACAATAGTAAATTTTAGAAATTTATCTTTTATAATTACTTATTGACAAAAATAATTTTGTTTTTACTTTACACATTGTAAAAAAATTATATTTAATTAAAATTAATTAATTAATATCTCAAATACTTACCTATCTGTGGTTTTCCATTGGCTGTATTTAATTTCCGAAATAAGGTTTTTTTGAAATATTTCTTTCAATTCGTTAATGCAAGCTTCAATTCCAGGACATTCTTTGCATTGTAGAAAACAGCAATTCGATGTCGAGATGTTGCAAAGAGACTGTTGAATAAAATGATTGTACGTTTTATCAAAATGAACTCCTTTTCTTTGTAACTCATGTTTAATTCCTGCAATTTTCAATTTGAAGTTTTCGTGAGTTTTGCAGACACATACATTATGTGTTCCACTCTGGCCTGCTGAGATGTACTCTCGTGGACGTAGTTGTCGAAATTTCGAAAGAGATATTTTTACTTCAGGAAACTCTTTCTTAAACATCTCGTATAAATCGTTCACATTAAATAATAATAGTTTTTTCTGAATGTGAATTCGTTTGCCATCTTTTTGAAGAGAAACGTAATCTTTAATCCCTGGCATGATACGACAATTCTCATCAGACGAATAAAACGCATGAACTTTTTCAACAGTTGAATATGGAATTATTTTACCACGTTTTTTTTCGGGTTTAGCACCATATCCAATATTGTTCCTTAACTTCTTAGCCTGACGTGCCATTCGACGAGAAACTTGCAGCTCTTTACACATTTTACTAATGGTCCAATGAGGCGGAATTGTGGTTAAAATTTGTATTTTTCCCAGTCGAGTAACATCATTCAATAACGCAGTTTTAATTCCATTAATATACTCATCCTCTTGATTCAATGTCTTTTTGGTATCATTAAGGTTTTCTATAATATTAGAAATATTTACCTGATCATCTGACAAAAAATTCGATATACGAGATTTTTTAATCTCTGGTTCGCCCAATTCTCGCAAAAGAGAATTGATTTTTGTAACTTTTATTTCATTATCCACTTCCTTACACTTAAAAGTAGGATCAGATTCGTCCTCTTTTTCATCATTTTCACTCAACTCTTCATCATTCACTTTGTCTTTTCGATTTTCATTTTCAGCTGCAACGGGGAAAATTTTTACGTTTTGGCTTCTATAAAGATCTCGTTTACAAGCATTACACACGTAAAATCCTATTAAATCCTTGAATTTGGTGTTCCACTTGTCCGTCACTAGATTAACATTTTTTCGAACACATTTATGACGTAATTTTTGTAAGGGATTGCAACATGAATTGGCCCGACACATTTTAACATTTATGAAAAAGTTAAATTTTAAAAAATATAATAACTTTTGATCTATTCGTCACACAAAATTTATCACTTGTATTGCAACTATAACTGATGGACGACTGTAAACATCTCTAGGTTTCCTCAGATATGCTTGTTTTGAATTTTGCATACAGTTCTGAGAAAACTCAAACACATATACTTTTGTGTATCAATTACAGTTACAATACAAAACATATATTTTGAGTGTCAAATAATATAATATAATATAATATAATATAATATAATATAATTATATTATATTATATTATATTATATTATATTATATTATATTATATTATATTATATTATATTATATTATATTATATTATATAATATTATATTATATTATATTATATTATATTATATTATATTATATTATATTATATTATATTATATTATATTATATTATATTATATTATATTATATTATATAAGAAATCTTAATAGTAACAGAGAAAAATAGAATAGTGCAGGCTGGCGCCGTTAAACGTGCTTGGCTCTCGCGCGGCGTTGCTTGCGCGCAGTATGCAGCGCTCGACAAAAAGTCAAATTATAAAAAAGCTTTTCATTTGCACTAAGATTTCTTTTCAGTTCTTGTTTACCTACATTCTAAAGAACATTTAGCAAAAAAAAATTTTTTTAAATCGCGTGTAGAAAGCACTTAAAATTGCATTTGTTTATAAAAAAATTATTGAAAAATAAAAAAAAATTAATTTTTTAAAATTTTTATTTTGTAACTCGAAAGTACATTTACTCACTGATATGACCATAAATTTTTGTTCAATTTGTGCAAAAACTCAAATAGTTAAAATTATTTTATTAAAAGGGTTCAAAAATCTTTAATTAACAATAAAAAATATAAATAATTTAAATATTTTTAAAATACTTGGTAAAAATATTACCAGATACTAGTACTTTCAAATACAAATACTTATTTCAAATTTTGCAACTTTGCGAAAATAGGGGGGCCACTTCAGGAATTTTTACTCATAATAAAAAAAGTAAGTTAGTAGAAAAGTAGAATATAAAAAAAAATATAAAGATACCAAATTTAAGAAAATTTAATTTTTTCTAATTCAAATTTTCACACGTAAAGCAACCGTCAATAAATTCTGTTTCCACATTTCGCTAGTACGCGCTCACGAGGGTCGAGACAGTAATTATAAATCATCAATGTCGTCATTATCAGTGTAATAAACGTGTTTAAAGAGTAGATCATGAATTCTCCCATACAGCACAGGAAGAAAAAGTTAGAAACAGTGAGGAGTGTAGAGGAGGAGGGGGGAAAAGCGGTCGGTATATAATGATAATGACGCAGATGCGTTTGATTTTACTCAAATGGTGCATAAATGCAAAAGGCCTTAAACGTGAGATGATCAGAGGTCATCGCTACAGTGGTCTTCCATTAAAACAGGCCAGTATCCTCCGCATCTAGCAACAGCATGTTGCTTTTTCGCTACATGCGATTCGCACGTATTGCTGAACATTGCCAAGAAATCACGCATGAATGGTACAACTCGTCTTTGATTATTAACGAGATTCAATAAAAAACGTTCTCGCGCAGGAAACTTTACTGCGTGCGAATCTACAGTTGAAAAAAAAAATTCCTCTCCCATATAAACATTCTCAAAAAAAATAATTTTTCCCCCAGACTTTTTTCTTCCTAACGGAACCTTTTTCTCCAAAAGGGCAAAAATTTCTTTCTCGAACAAAAATGATAGAGCACAACTTTTATTTCATTTTTTTTTTTTTTTTTGTAAGATTTTTCTCGCCTTTTTCTCAGAAGATGAGATGC